ATACAGCAAGAGTACTAGAAACTAAAGCGCCACATGGGATAACAAATCGTCGAGCAAATACAAGAAGAAAAGGACGCATCTCGTTCGAAGGTGAAAAATTTTGTATTTCATCTGTGTTTCTAACAGGTAGTTATTGGTATATAGTGACTTTTTCTATTCTTTTCTCCCTTCAAGCATTTCTCTCTTTTTTTTTCTTACTCTTTTTTTGCTTGTATACTCGGAAAATATTAAGAAATAATGTAAGTTAAAAGAAAGTAGTTATTGTGGCAAATACGGTAAAGAAAATGAATGTTAATGGTAGTTTGGAAATTGCTATAAAACTGAACGATGTGAAACAATTAACGGCCTAACGATCGATAGAAAGACATAGAGGAAAAACGGGCAAACGTAAGAAAAAAAAAATGCACGTTACTCTGGTATGCGCATTGTTTCGGTTACTTTTCTTCTTAATGTTATTTGCCCGTTTATAGAACAATCCTATCGCATTTTCTTTATTCATTCAGATTTTTCTTTTTTTACAATTGACGTCACATTTACTAGCCGACAATGACGACGTGTGTTTGATGAAAGAAGTTGATATACACATATTTATATTTATGTATGTGTATGTGCGAGAGAGATCCGATTAAAAAAATAAAGAAGAAGAAGTAGAAGAAGGAAATTTAGCTAATCTCGAAGAAAAAAGAAACGGGAAAAAAATATTTTAAGTGGTTCTCTTATTGGGTTTGTTAGTCAGTTTTATCTGTTTATATTAGGTTTTTTTAATAAAGAATAAGCCATAAAAATAAATAAATCTCTTAAGCACGATCGAATTGTTAGCATAAAGTAAAGTCAATGATAAATAATATCGATGGTTTTATGATTAGAGGTCAGTTTGTTGTAAAAATTATTTTAAACAAGATACTAATACAAATCGAAAAGTTAAGTTACAATAAATAAGAAGCGAATTTCTTGTAGTTTTAATTTTTTTATTTTTGTCTTCGAAATATTTCAAATAAGACAAGAAAAAAAAGGGATTATTCTGAACAAATATCTTAAGTATTAATTTTATTATTTGAAAATATTGATTTTGATATAATTGAGAGATAAAAGTAGATAGATATTATCTAATATTATTAAAAAAGAATTCATTTAATAAAAACACAATGATACTTTTGTGTATTGGTCACTGGTTATTGTTTTTTTTTTTTTTGTAGACTGAAGCTTAAATGAAGCAATATTTTTATGAGTATCTTGAAATCAAGATGTCATATAAGGTAAAACCAAAGAAAAGATATATTTCGATTAATATAAGTTACTTTTTTGGTCTTATGGAATAACAATCAAAGTCAATTTCTCTTCCTTGACAAAATCTTGAGATCGCTAATTTAATCAAAAACTCAAAGGACAATATTAGATGATCTTATCCAAATGCAAATATTGTAAGCTAATCCTCGCTATCGTTGAATCAGTGAAATTGAAACGTCACGCAAAATAAAATCAATCTCATATTTTCTGGCGTGATATTTTCATAAAAAACTAAAATATTATTTATTAATTCTTTTCAATAAGAATATTTCATTTGGCACATATTGATATTGATCTCTCTCTCTCTCTCTATTTCGATTTGCTATTGTACAATACTTCATATCTTACTAATCGTAATGATTTTTATCAAAACATTCAACAACGAAGAAAAAAAAAATTACGCTATTGATCCGTCTATGTATACATTTCTATCGTTCTCAGAATAGATTGCCATTTTTTTTTTTCTTAGTAGTCAGATGTTAATCAAACTACACCAATAGAAAAAAAAAACAACCTTTTATGTGCTCAAAAATCACTTATCTAGAAATTTTGCTTTACTGAGACAATTGTATGTAAGGTGTCGACAATGTGAAATTTAAGCAAAAAATTTTTATTGACGTTTTTTGTGTCATCGTTAGATAGAGCTCGCCGAGTTACGTTTAAAAATGTTGTTTTTTACATATTCAGGCGACGTCTTTTGTAGTGAAACTTAGGAAAACTATATTAAAAAAAAAATGAGAGAAATCTATAAAAATTGAAATACGCCAAAAGCGCTAAGTCTCGGTAGTCTCATTGTTTATCTGAAATTTTCATTTGAGTTTATTCATTATATAGTTAAGAACAAAATCATGCATGCTTTTTGTAAAATATTATTTGATTGTTGAGAGAGTCAATTTTTTCGATATGATAGTCAAATACAATAATTACGGGTTTGTATTTTAAGATTTTGACAATTAGAGCCTCAATTCCAAAAGAAACAAAAAATTATATTCAGAGTCAGCGTAAAAATCTGCATCAGATACTATACTCAATATTCAAAAATAATTTTCGTCGAAATTCTGTCCTTACATCTTCTCAGTACTATTTTGAGACGTATCTTGAATCTGTGAGTTCTAAACTCATGAAAATCAAAATTGCCACTTCACTCACAAAACTCAAGCAACCCTAAAAACTCAAGAGATTTGTAGAAATTTAGGTAATAGATCAACCCTAGAGTTCCAAACAAAATTGACATCACCACACTTTGCATATCCACAAGTTTTAAACAACAGCAGTGGTATCTTACATCTAGAAATTTAGAAAACCAGAAATGCAATGAGAGAAGACAAATATATGATACAATCTTTTCCGTGAATATTCAAATATGTGTGTATGGCTATGAATGTAGAAAAAACCGAAACCCAAATCCACACTCCTTCGAAAGTTTCATGAGTGAAGTTGCACATTTGAGAGTTGCAGGAGTTCGGACATTGCTGTAATTTTCTTAAGTTTCACTAGAAAAACATAGCGCGTAATCAGCGGTGGACTAGATTGAACGCTACTCTACTACGAGCAGAAAGAAAAACCTAATAATTACTATCATTGACATATATTACAAGGATTTTTCCTAAGATCGTGGAACACAACCCTATTGTCCACAATTTCCTACTTACGCCGCTAGAAAAATATCGCCTGAATATATTAAAAAAAAAATTTTTTTCATAGGTAACTCGACGAGTTCTATCCAACCATGACACTAAAAAAAGTCTCCAAAAAATTTTTTGCTCAAATTTCGAATTATCAACGCCTTGCATCACAGCATGTCAACTTCTTTTCCTACTTTAATTGCGTACGTACTTTTTTACCTAGTCAATTTTCTGTGAATAACATTCTTTAAAGTAAAGTCAAAATAATAAATTGAAAGAAACAGAAAAGAAAAAAATTCGGGTGGCGGGATGTTCGCCAATAAGACTTTCGCCAATAAGACATTCACCAATGGCGAAAATCCCGGGGGTATGTTGGCGAAAGTACAGTGGACTTTCGCCAATTGGCGAAGTTCCAGGGAATGTATTGGCAAAACTACAGTGGACTTTCGTCAATTGGCGAAAGTGAGGTGGACTATCTCACTTGTCACGGAACAATATTAATATAGGATATATGACGTCGCTGAAGTTAATGTTATTAGACTATATATATATCATAGTTTACACTCATCGATGTAGGTGAGAAAAATTTTCTTTTAGTGTAAGTCTAGTTTACAATGAAATTGCTGAAAGCTCACTGTACTTTCGCCAATTGGCGACAGTCCAGGGATATATTGGCAAAATTCCGGAACCCAAAAAATTCAAGTAGAAGCAAACGAATTCGACATAATTTGAATCTTTTCTTTTAAAGTCTTCAATACATACTCTTTTATTATTCTTCCGACAAAACTCAAAGGTATATAAAACTTTTATTTAAATGTAGATTAAAAACTTGTTTTCTTATCATAACCAATGACATACATAATAAACTTTAACTAATATTTATTTGATATAAACTAGAAAATATAAACTATTTAAATAGTATTAAAAATTGAATAAATTGATTCATGAGACAAAACACAATGTACTATTGTCATTCAATAGAAGTTGTCAATGAACGACATCTTTAGATAAGTACATCAACATCAATAAAATCCATATTATATCAATCCTCATCCAATTGATCATATGGTTTTCTTTATTATTTTTAGATCTTATTTTAACCGCAATACTATTATTATAAGGTTTTTTTCTTTTTTCTTTCCAGTTTCTTTTTATAAAGATCATTGATTTATTATCCATTATTTACTTAAAAAATATAATATAAGTCGATACTTCTACAGGATACACCCACACAAACATGTAATGTTTTTTTTTAGCGAGGCTAACCAATTAGTATATGATCAAAGCGATTAGTGAATAGAATATGTGTATCCTATAGAAAAAGCACCAATAAGTCTTTTTCCATATTGTCTATTTATATGCCAAGTACTTTATCATCATTCTTTTGCGTGTTTGTTTCTATCAGTTGACAATATGTCTCAGACTGTTGTCTATTCTTTTTTCTTTTCAGTTTTAATCAATACTTATCTTTGCATAGATTAAAAGGCGTAGATACTTTAAAATATTACAAAAAAAGAAAACAAAACGTAAACAGCATATTTGACATGTTAATAAAAGTTAATATACCATAATGTGACTTACATATGATTATGACAATCAAAGAAAAACAAGCCGAACACTTGTTTTTTTTTTCATTCTATTTCTAGATAAACAATAGAAAAGAAAAGAAAAAAAAGCACTTATAAAATAAAAATCTGCTTATATTTACACAAAAAAGAAAAACTCAACAAACCGATATTTCAAGTAATGTCCATATCATTCGAGTAAGTCATGTATGTTATCATAATAAAATTATTTCGTTATTTTATTTTTATCAGTTACTATATACGTTATTGAAGATAAATCTTTACAATTTACTGAAGTTCGTTTTATATATATATACATATATATATATATATATTGCATAATCATGTATTATACATAGCATAAAAATTAGATCAATATCCCGTAAATATTATGGTTTTATTTTTCTTTTAATTTATTTTCTGTAAACAGAAAAATACCAAAACAAAATTTTGTTGTTTTCTTTTTTTTTTTTAAATTTTTTTATAGTATTTGATTACCCGGTGATTCATTCGTCGATTCTCCATGGCAATATGTTGTGGAGGAAAGAAGCAGAAAGTATCTCATTCAATAACAAGCTCAATTAATAATCGTCGTTTATCTGAAAAATATAATGGTAATGGTATTGTTGATCAACATTATAATTTAAAATCTAATTCATCATCTACAATACGTCATCGTTCACATTCACATTTTAATCATCGTCAAACAAATTCAAATCATTTATTAATGCCTCACGATCTTTCACGTTCATCTTCAAATTCAGCATCATCATCAGCTCTTTCTTATTCTTATGGTACATCACAAGTATCATCATTAACAATTGATGGAATTAATAATAATCATTATTATCATAAAGATCCAAAAAAAATTGATAAAATGGATATTAGTGATAATGATGATGATGATGATGAATTCACAATCAATAATACTAATAAACAACAAAAAAAACTTAGACAAAATCCTAATTATTCATTACCATCACAACAAAAACCGCCAATTGTTCATGCTGATATGATTTTTTATTGCTTTGAAATATTAGGCAATTATTTATTTAATGGTAAACATCATTTAGCTAAACATTATTTATCATCATCATCATCATCAACTAATGGACAATTAGTTCCATCACCTATTGCTCCTCCGACATTACCAAATGATCCATATCCATTATTTGTTACATGGTTTGTCGGATCAGAACAAAAATTACGTGGATGTATTGGTACATTTACACCAATGAATTTAATTCAAGGTAATTCTACTTTAAATTTAAGTTTGTATAAATTCTCTATAGTAAATATCCTTTCAACATTTCAAAAGTGTTTACTATCAGGCGGTTAGGATTTTTCTAAAAACAAAGCTTTTTTTTTTTTACAAGGAACAGATGCATTGTATAGGTATCTAAAGTGTATTAGTGTTTAAAATAATCAGCTATTGCTGATTATTACGAGAAACACATAGGCGTTTTTCGTTCTGAAACAGTTCAGATCTATTGATATGTACTACATATTATTGATTTAACTGACATTGCTCTATGATTTGATACAAGCGACATACATATACACCGTACTAACTTTTGAAAGATCAATAATGTTGGTTAGAGATGAATTTTAATTCACTTTAATTAATTCCATGTTTCATTATTTTACTTCGCAAAAAAGAATCCTATTTTTAAAGAGTTAAAATATAATAAAATTTTTCTGATGTAAACGATATTGAGATTTTTCAAAAGTATTTATACTATATTGTTTTTATTGATTTATATTGAATAGGTCTTCGTGAATATGCTATAACATCAGCAACAAATGATAGTCGTTTTTCACCAATATCACGTGATGAATATCCATTATTATCATGCGCCGTATCAATATTAACACATTTTGAACCATGTTCATCTTATATGGATTGGGATCTTGGTCTTCATGGTATACGTATTGAATTTTTTAATGAACGTGGTGCAAAACGTTCAGCAACATATTTACCTGAAGTTGCTCATGAACAAGGTTGGAATCATATTCAAACAATTGATTCATTATTACGTAAAGGTGGATATAAAGCTCCGATAACATCTGATATGAGAAAAAGTGTTCTTGTAACACGATATAGAAGTGAAAAATTAATATTACATTATAATGATTATGTACAGTCAAAATTAAATTCACCATTAACAACAACAGCAACAACATTTTCATATACGACAACAATTCGACAACAATTTTAGTTAAAAAAAAAAAAAAAAACTCGTCCGAAATTAATATAATTATAGACAAATATCTATCATGCTTTCTTTTCCTTTTTGATTTTTTTTTCGTGGAGTTATGGTGCTTGTGTTCCATGATGCACTCAGGATAGGATCTTCTCGCTTCTCTTTCTAACTATTAGACTATTCTTTTTCTCTCTTATCATATATATATATATACATATACATACACATATATAACCTTCTTTATTTCAGCGTCATTTATGGTTTTGTCTGTCTCTATATTTAAGTGTGTATATACCATGCTTTGTACGTTAGGCAGTGAGTGGTGTGAAGATTTGCATACATATATAAAGATTTATGAGGGAGAGAGAATGAGTGAGATAGATTCTCACTTTGATTATTTTTATTATGAATATATGAATATATATATATACAGAAATATAAAAGATGAATTCTGTACATTTTATTATCGATCATTGACTATGAATTCATTTATTAAAAATAAGATAATCGATTTTATCGGATATTCGAAAATGTTTGCAACATAATTTATTTTGCATATATTTCTGCATAGATAAATGATTAAATCTTGAATGTTTTTTGTTTTATTGAAATCTGTGCCGTCGAATTCAAATAATTCTTGAGACTTGATCTAATAAACTTTTATAAAATTAAATGAAAAGATAAGTAAATAATTATTATTTTCAATTATAAGTTTTTATTTGTTTTTAAAAACATTTGTTGTGAAATATTGAAAGCAAAAGATGTTTTCCACTTATTCGAATTAATTTGGGAAGAACTAAAAAAAGAAAACTATACAAGATGCCATCATTTTTTCATTATTCTGAATTCAATTTACTTCTTTATCTCAACAGACAATTGTCTTTTGTTCATTTTCAATTTTTTCTCCTAACTTTCGAACATCAAAATAATTACCTTGGTAGTATTATTGTGTTGAGTAGTGAGATTTTTTTTTTTTTGGTTCAATAAATTTGATTTCGATAATTAAATTGCTATTTATGAAGCGTTTACTTCACTATTGTCATGTATAGTTGCAGAATTCTATACAATTTTCTTTTTAGCTCTTTTGAAATCTATTACAATGAGTCAAGAACATCTTTTGGTTTCAATATTCTAGAAAATTTCATAATAGATCCTGTTAAAAAAAAAAAAAAAAAAAAATTAAGTTTCTATGATTGACTAAGAAGAACAGAAATAAAATTGCATTAGATAAGGCTAAAGGAATATTTTAAATCTGACAAAGCAGATTTAAAAAATAAACTATAGTGCAAATTTTTTCTAACATTCAGTACCTAGTTGAATGTTAGTTTCATTAACAATTAATTGATAATGAAGATTTTTATTTCAAAAATAAATATAATAAAATTGTCGAAATATTTTCCATGAAAAAATAAAAATCATTGAAAATGATAATAATATGAATTTTGATTTAATATAGACTTGAGTTTTTATTTCAAAGACATATAGTTAAACAATGGTTCATTGATTTAGATTATTAACATCATTATTATAATTTTAGTGTGTTTAGATAATGAATTTATTATTATTTAACAACATATTTATGATGATTGATATTAAATATTAGAAAAGAATTGAAATATTCGATATATTCATTTTAAATAAATCAAATAAAAACAAAAATTTTCTTTCTATAGTGGAATTCATATTATTATTATTTTATCATATAATTATAAAATCTCAAGTTATATACATTTCATTCATATTAAAAATACTATCTCTTGTAGAAATGTATGATGAATCAATGAATGAATGAGAGAAACAAAATTTCTGATTGAAGAAATAATTATTTTTCTAATTCATTTCAATAATTGTTCAAGTTTTCCATTGTGTATTGATCACATAAATATTTGTCTGAAATACTTTCATGTTGTTCGTTGTCTTTCATATATAGCGAAAAAATCAATTTCCTTTATTTATAAAACTAAATTGATTGTGATCAGCACGTCAGCATAGAAAACAATCATATCTACATTGAATAAATCGAAGGCTTATTTTATTAGTAAACATAATTATATTACACAAAATAGTTGTTTTGTGATTAATTTTCGTTTACTTTGTTATTCCTAAGATGTGACGGTAATCAGTCTATGACATGTTTACTTATGATAAATATTAAGTTTGTGTCAGTTATTAAAATAGAGAATAATGAATATAGATGATGAAAATCTTCATCAGACTTAATATGATTTTTAGATTCATTTTATTCTAAAGTATCATATAAAACTCACTCATCGATCACGTGTTGTTACGGTAGGTCTCGATTAGAAGAGAGTTATCCTTCATCACTTTTGATGTTATATATGTGAAAATTATCTGTTGAATTTTAGAACATGTCCTTTATATTGGTCACTTGCTGTCAGACAGACTATGTTTGACTGTTTGTGTACTTTGTCACATCATACGACTTCTAAAAATGATTAACACACATGACTATCATTAAAAATTCAACCAGTACATTTGACCTATTTGCTGTTTCAATGAAATTTAAAATAATAAACTTTACATATCGATAAACATATGTTAAAGTAATTTGCGAAAGTGTAATAAAAGTTATTGATCATTAATTTTTTAATAGCCTAAAGTAAGATACAACCTTGTTTTTTCTGTTTTTTAATTAAGATTTATTATGGAGATTTGAACTATTTTTTTTCTTTTAACCCTTTGATGCCGGAATTTTTTTGAAAAAATAAAGTTTTTTATTTAAGCTTCTGGATAAATACGATAAAATCGCCCATTATCCATATAGGATATTAACAAGCTTTATATAGGTTGCTAAATAAATTATAATTTATTACTTTAACCCTTTAGCGGTTGGAGTGGTATAAATACTATTTCGAGTATTTCTCAAAATCTGAGGTGATATATATACCACGTCTGGCATCAAAGAGTTAAATGTTTATTTTTTTTCTCTTTGAAAGATTCTGCAGAAATAAACTATTTTTTGTATGCATTTAATATTAATAATTTTTTTCTTTATTTATTACTTTAATCATCCATATTGTGTTTAAACAACAAATACAGATGTTTGCAAAAAAAAAAAAAACTTGCCTAAAATTCTATTATCTGAAGATCTTTTTTCTATCGCTCGTAGCAACTATAAACGTCATTATGTAAGAGATGAATCTTCGAAAATTCTATTAGATAACAATTATAGAAAAATACGAGTTTTCGCGTTTTCCATATATATATATATATATATATATATATATTTGTGTAATTATATTACTTTCTTCTTATTCAAAAACTCAGTCATTTATCCATGTCATATAAATAAAATATAGCCTTGAGGTCTAGGTGAGTTTTTCATTATAAAATAAATGTGTAACTAAGGGCTATTTATTACAATAACAGCAAATTCAAGCATATTGTTGCTAGTCTAAACATCCAAACGAGCGATGGAAAAAGTTCATGAATGCGACCATATTATATATATATAAAGTTGATATGTTTGTAAAATATTAAGATACAATTTTCATGATCTTTATTATATTTATATTCTTGAGAAATGCTTCTGTTTTGCTATTAGATTTGATTAATAAACAGAACGATATAGTTTAGAAAAATCTCAACAAAGTAAAAAGGCATTTCTTAAGAGATGATGATTCGAAATGTGTTAGTCGTTCTATTAAACAATTCTTCATCACGAATAAGAGAGTATTCAATTGATATCTTGGCTGTTAATTCTATAAGAATATTCAATACGCTAGAAAACATAATATAGAGAAAAAAATATCATAGAAAGAAAATTGATGAATTCCGATAATTTTCAGTTAAAAATGTTGATTTGTTTTATAAATCATTCTGCAATATTTAAAGAAGAAACAAATGTTTATTTCTTCAGAAGGATCAACGAATAGATTATTAAGTTATAGCACTTTATAACATTCATTACTCTCTATCGATCATAATATAAAACGATTCAAAGGAAACATATATAGATAAAATAATATTTGTAGAGAAATGTGTGCATGTTCGGTGTTTTTTTGCAAGTATCTCTATATAATCATGTAATTTTCAATCGAACTAAGTAACTTATGTTTTTATTTTTTTTATTTTTTAATAATTAATAAGCCAACTAAGATAGATGTAACAAAAAAAGACACTCTAAATATTAACTTGTTCAATTTTTCGTTATTATAACCTTTAAAATTGAGATTTCTATTAGTTAAAATAAGTTATAATCTATTGATACAAAGAAAGAAAGTAAGAAATTTGACTATTATTCTCCTAAAATAGTAACGTTCAATGCAGAATTTTTGTCTATGATTCTTAACATATTTTTTTTTTGAATGCTGTAAATGACATAAAGAATATTAAATATAAATAAATATAGCATAGCAACCTGTCAAATTTCATCTTGAGATTCATTTCCAGAACAACTATCGTTCAAATACAAAAACGACATCTCAATTATTAAAAGTTCAAGATCTGAACAAATCTCGAGTCCATGTGTGGTCTACTCTGACATTTTTTTTTGCTAATGTATACATTCCATCAAGAAAACTAAATCCGATCTAATCTAATAATACATTTTTATTAAATCTTCTGACAAAGCTTTAAAAAAAACTGTCATTTTCTATCGATTCTATTATCATAATTAAACGAAGCAATCTAAACAATTACTTTTTATTATTTTTCATTTATAATAAAAATAAAAAAAAAAGTGAATTTGTTATAAAAAAAAACATCTAATAATATTCTCAAATGATTTCGTATTATGTTCATTATATATTCTAACATGAACATTTAATAAATATATTCATCAATCATAAGATTTTTGTTATATAATACTTTTGATATTTATTTTCATCAATTATATTCCAAATTTAATTTATCTATATTCATTAAATATAATAATACATTGATGAAAAAAAAAAGCCATTAATTAATAACATCATGAATATGTATGATGATAAGAAAAAAAAAAAGCAGCTCGATAATTTCATAATCAAGGTTAAGCTTCAATTCAACGGATG